GGAAATGGGACCCACAGAAGACAGAGGCTGGAGCACTGTCTCAAGTCCCCTGGCACACCAGTGAAGGTCACCCCTTGCCAGCCTGTTGCTAGAGCACCTGTAGGACCCCGGCCCTCGCCAAAGCCAGGGAAACCAGGGTGAAAGAAACTACAGGCCATCAGCTGGGGCTCTTAGCAGAATTCTCATGGACACAGATAGGTACATCTGAGGCTGTGGGTGTGAGCTTACACATGTGCACAAACATGTGCATGCGTGCAGGCCACACAGCTGGAAGGAGCCCACCACCTGTGAGGACAGAGGGCTCCCCCTCTCCAGCCTCTACTCCATGAGGGGTGGGTGCAGGGTGGCCAGGAGAGGCTGCCTTCTCTTCCCAGGTCCAGCTGTGAACAGCGCCTGGCAGGGGGCCTTCCTCACAGGAAGTTCTCAGGATCTGCTGCCTCCCTACTGAAGGCCTAGGTCACCCGCCCCAAACCTCAGCCACAGCCTGGCCTCCAATGCGACCCCTTCTCAGCTGAGCTGCGTCACTGTCGTGGGGTACTGTCACTGGGGTGCCGTCTCGTTCCTCTGAGCCTCTTTTTTCTCACTGGTGACAGGTGGGCACTTCCTGGGACTCTGGGGTGTCAAGTCCACTAGGGCTACTGTGGTCACAGTGCCTGCATCCCCCAGCCACAACCAGGCCACAGTGACGTGTAGGGGCGGAGGGGAGGGGGGCAGGGCACCATGGGTCCACAGGGGGTGCTAGTACCAGGAGGGCGGGGTGGGAAAGGAAGTCCATTTTCCCTGCCCCGCCCCCTAGGCCTCTATGCAAGGCTTGAAATTCCGGGAGTGGCGGGAGGTCGGGGCAGGGGGGACAGGCGCTGGCCTGGGTTCCACAGGTGGAGGCAAAAGACTGGGGTGGGAGGAGCCTGTGTCCACAGCTGTTTTCCATCCTCCTGCGGTGATGGGGGAAAGGTTTTGATTCTCACGGGGTTGGGGAGCCGAACCTTGCAGGAAGGAAAGGAAGCAGACAGGCTGGAGAAGGCTGTGCTAGCCTGACGCAGGGGGATGGTGAGAATGGCCGCGAGGCCCTGAAACCTCCGTCCACTCCCCTGCTACCCTTCCCTTTCCCGGGCGAGGTCGCTCCACCTCAGCCTGAGGGCTGGCAGAAGGCGGGCATTCCCCAGGCCTACGACAGCTGGCCCTGAGCCGGTGACCTCCCGTTTCCTCCCGGCACCCAGAGATGCTGTGAGGGCTCAGGCAGGCCCCGCCGGAACTCTACCCAGCATGGCTGGGGTGCAGTGTAGAGAGGAAGAGGGGAAGGCAGGTTCAAAATAACTTTTTTCCCATTCCCAACCTGCCGGGCTCTTCTCTACGGGGGGAGCGAGGAGGTGGGGTCCGGAAAAAGCCGAGGGCGGTTTCCACCAGCTCAGCCCAAAGGGGAGCAACGAGCTCGCTCCCAAGCCCTTGGGTTTCAGCCGGCGGAGCCCGCCCCGCGTCGCCCCAGCGAACACCGGCCATCGCACCGGCGCGTGAGCCCAGGTGGGGTCCAGGCCCCACGAGCGCGTTCC